GCCCCTGGAAACTCCTGAGCAGATAAGATTCTTGTCCCGAGGGACACAGATGCTTCCTCCTGAGCCCGCTTACCCAACAGCACTCTACCTCAGAGCAACAACAGCCAGTAAAAGGGAGGACTTCTTTCTGGAGGCCCCTTCCCTTCCTTCTCCCCATAATGAGCATGAAAGCATGGTTGTCCAAGTGCAGGGTAATTACCCTGAAAAGAAATGGCTTAATGGCAAATGTATTTCTGCATTTTGCTTTTATGTCCGGAGTTCCCAGAAGAGTTGCAGCTCCATTCCAGTTCTGCAGGTGGAAAGTGGTCGGGACATCAGGAGGCAGGTGGTCTAACGCAGAGTGTGATGGCGCTCGGAGCCTTTGCAGGCAGCATGAAGGCAGTGCCGGCAGTTGTGTGTGATGGGACCTAGAGACCTGCGTCCTGCGTCTCTCGTTCCTTTTCAACTTGAAGCCCTCCAGAGCATTCTGCCAGCTGTTAGAAGAGGCACCTGTGTTGACAATGTCACTGAGTTCTGGGAGAAAATAGTGTCTCACTTTTTTGGTAATCGTTGCAGCCACGGACCTATAAGAGCCCTGCGTGTGCATGGTGATAGAGACAGAAAGTGCTTCCAGTTGAAAGTTTAGTTCCATTTTGTGATTTTGATTTTGTTGTTGTTTTGTGTGTGTGTGTGTGTGTGTGTGTGTGTATGACACAGAGCTCGTGAAGAGGTTAGAGGATAATTTGAAGTAGTCTATTCTCTTCTTCCACCATGTGAGTTCTGGGAATTGAACTCATGTCACCGGGCGTGGTGGCAAGTACCCTACCCACTGAGTCATTTCAGTGACCCCAGATTTTGTGGAGGGTTTTGCCTTTTTTTTTCTTTTATTATTGTTCTGTTCTGTTTTGATTGTCTTTGAGACAGGGCCTCATTATGTAACCCTGGCTGGCCTGTAACTGTGTATGTAGACCAGGATGACATAAAACTCATAGAAATCGGCCTGCCCCACCTCCCAAGTGCTCAGATTAGAGGCGTGCACCAACCATACCCCATTCTACCTGTAAAAATACAGGTAAGATTCAGAATCACAAGGAACTAGCTGGGGACATCTTTCTAGGCTTAGGCGGTGAATCATGATGTTTGATCCCAAAGTGAATCCAGCAGAGAAGTGGACCAAATAGGAAAGAGATGTAGTCAATTACAAGATTCGTCTTGAAATAGGAGGCACCTGTGTTTGGCTTAGTAGGCAATTAATTATCTAAAATTGGGGCTGTGGATGGAGAGATACTCAATCAGTAAAGTGCCTTGAAAGCTTCAGGACCAGGCTTTGATCCTCAAAAAAAAAAAAAAAAAAAAAAAAAAAAAAAAAGCATGGTGGTATGTGCTTGTAAGCGCAGCACTTTGGACATGGAGCAAGGCAGATCCCTGTGGTTCTCTGGCCAACCAGTCCAGTCTAGCTACCTGGGAGGCATTATCTAAAAACCAAGGCAGTTCTTTCCTGAGAGATGGTACCTGAGGTTGACTAATGGTCTTCACATGCATGCATACGGGCACCCACCCCCTTCCATACACACCCACATACAGTAAAATTGAGGGTAGAAGAGATGGCACAGTACCTAGCAGAAGCAGGTATTGATGGATCTGCTTTAATTTTGTTGCTATAAAGGGGGAAAGGGAAAATATATAGGAAAATGTGAAAGGGGCATCCTTGAAGAAACCAAAGACAGAAAAGCAGTTGAGACTGTCCTGCCTGGGCCATGGTTTGCCCTTCACTGGCTCTTTCCAGACACTTGTGCCCGTAACTTCTGCCAGAGTTTAGTGGCATGCCTCTTGAGCATGTGTGTGACTGCAGGAGCAGCCTACACTTTGAAGGCCTGTTCAGAAAGGGGTGCAGCTGGAAGGTGTGTTTATTCAAGTTCGAGTAAGCGGAGGTAAAGGAAGGTGTGGTCAGGAACTAGGGCAGGTTCCCCTCTCCTGGTCGGCATAAGTCCAAAGTCAGCTGTATTGCAGATTGCCACGACTCATTTCTCACCCAAGGTCATGTTAGTTCATCTAGACCGCAGCTGAACGGAACTCAGCTGCAGTCCAGGGACAAACTGAGTTGGAGTCATTCCCCAGGTGCCTGCTAAGCAGTTCCGGTTCTGTCCACCAGGGGTGCGGGTGCTGCACAGCTAGAGGGCACTGTGATGTGATGCTGAGCTCCCATCCCAAGCCAGACTCCTGTTCCCCCACCTTTCCATACACACCACCCTCCTCTTCCCTTTAATTCTCCATTAGCTTTGTATTCTGGCTGAGGAAGACTTTCGCTGTTTTCTTTGTAATTGTTACCTGGATTTGCCCTTCTTCCAGGCCCCCATGATAAGATGTTTCTTTGGCAGGGTACTGTGATTGAGGCTGGGGGGGTGTGTGTGGCCACCAGACTGAGAGATATATGGTATTGACACCTAGAGATTATTCAGCTGTGACCAACAGCATGTGCTGAGAATAGAAAGAAGGATCTACGACCTCTGTTAGGCTGTGTCCTTGTCTCTAGGAAGCAGGTAGGCAAGAGGTATGAGCACTGTAAGCAGAACAGGAGGATTAGCAAATTCTTGGTGGTTCAAATGTTACTGAAAATACATTTTTGAAATGTCAGATTATTTGCATAGCGGTGAATCAGATTTCTGGAAAAAAAATGGAATCCCAAATATTTGCTTTATATTTTAGTTCAGCTTCAACCCAAGTCAAAAAATGGATGTAATTTATTTTTATTATTGACGATACTTGGCTTCTTCCCCAAACATAGGGGCTCTAAACTGCAATGCTACTTAATGGCGTTGGCCAGTGACAAGGGTGATTCCTTGTGAAATCTTTATTGTCTTTTGCTACCAAATCTCCCTCCTTTCTCTCTCCCTTCCTCCTGTATTCAGAGGGAATGGTCTAGGCGCTAATGGAGGGTGCCGCATTTGTTTTGGTTTTGTTTCTTATGCCACAATTCCTACTCTATCGTCTTTCTATTACTGGCCTGAATAAATGAGCAAACAGTCCATATTTTAGATGTACTTTTACATGTATGTTATGGCTCTTGGAATTCTTATAAAATAAAATGACTTAGAATAAAAACAATCTTGGTGTAAGGGACAGACTATGGGCAATAGGGAACTATGTGCTTGCTTGTTTACTTCTGTTTATTATTTGTGTGTTTACATGTATACAGAGCTCAGAGGACAACTTCATGGAATCAGTCCTCTCCTTCCACTTTTATGTGGGTTCCAGGGATGGAACTCACATCAGCAGCTTTGCTTGGCAAGTGCCTTTACACCTCAAACCCAGTCTAACTTCAGCTTGCTATCTAGCCCAGGATGGCCCTTGGCCTCTGCTCCCCCTGCCTCCACTTCCCAAGTGCTGGAATTACAGGTGTGTACCACCATACCTTCCACACGGCAGGCAAGCACTCTTCCAGATGGACTACATCACCAGCTTGGCATCTCTTGAGGTCTGCTTCTTGAAGGGTGTGGCTAGGGAAGTCAGGCTATGGCCTCTGGTAAGGTTATCAATGTGTTTTCTTCCTTCTATTGGGACGGATTCCTGAGATTCCTAGCAGCATACTCATTTCAAAATAGTGGAGTTTCAGGAGCCAAGTGAGGAACTGGGTGCCTTTAGCCGGGACTGGACGGTGGCGTAGCTGGAGGTCTTGGCTCTGTGTCTGAAGCAATTGATTATTTTAGTCTGTATCATACATGTTTGAGAGCTTTCCAGATATTTTTTTAATGTGGCGACACTAAAATGGAGACCAAATGAAAGTGCTTTTTGTTTTCTTGTTGTTTTGTATTTTTGAGACAAGGTCTCATTATGTCGCCGGGAGCTCACTATGTAAACCACTCTGGCCACAAACTCATGCCAACCCTCCCTTGCCAGCCTCTCGAATGCTAGAACTACGGGCATGGCTCATCAAGCCTCTTGAAAATGGCTTTGCTAAATGTGAGGAGTACTCAGAATGAAGTTCATTGAGGAAAATGATGAATTGGACCGCCAGCAATAAACATCTGTACAGGCATAAAAAATGGCTGTGATTGGGGAAATTTCATGGAAAGACTTGGGGTGTAGTCTGAGTGGGTGTTCTGCAGCGAGGCAGACTGACGCAACGTTCTGTTCAGGACTTCAGATGCGAGCTGAAAACACGGAGGTGGAGGCAACGCAAGCCGTATGAGTATCATTGGTCTAGCTCCCTCCCCCATCTTCCAGTGCAAACTGTATGAGTATCATTGATCTAGCTTCCCCCCCCCCATCTTCCAATGCAAACTGTATGAGCATCATTGGTCTAGCTCCTCCCCCACCCCACTATCTTCCAATGCAAACTGTATGAATATCATTGATCTAGCTCCTCCCCCCCCCCATCTTCCAATGCAAACTGTATGAGTATCATTGGTCTAGCTCCTCCCGCACCCCCCTATCTTGACAATGTTCAGATGGATTAAACTGTGGGTAGGTTTGGAGACTGACCCACAGGTAAAGGACTTTGGAGGTGGAACTCATGGAGAATAGCTTAGAATTCACATTTTTTCTTATGCAAAAAGCCTGGTGTGAAGAAGGCTGGTTCCAGCCCTTAATCTTCCCTGGGGGTGGAGTGATGTGCCACTAGCATTTGGTTAGACACAGGAGTACTTGCCTGACAGTGAGTCAGTACACGGCAGGGTGAATTATGTAGAGAAGGTTTTGGTGTGTAGGGGAGACTTTCAAGGCAGGCTGTATTTGTATCTCATGGAATGGCTTAGTTCCATCTGAGGATGTTTGGGTCTGCTGACATGGTCCTAGGTGATGGCCAAGCGGGAGCTGAGCTAATGACTACTTGGGTCCCTGTTCTAACCTGGAGGTTCCTTCCCCCAGAGTCTTCTCTGGAGTTGTCCACATGCTTGTTCATCCCCAGAGGTGCTTGTTAGGGACTGCACAGCATTGCAGCCCCTGCTGCCAGGCTGGTGGCCAGCTGTGGTGCTGCAGAATGGCTGGTCTAATCAGAATCCATTTCTCTGTTCTCTTTGCAGTATGAGTTTAAAGCCAAGAACATCAAGAAGAAGAAAGTGAGCATCATGGTCTCCGTGGATGGTGTGAAAGTGATTCTGAAGAAGAAGAAAAAGGTGAGTGACTCTGGACCGGACACTGGCAAGCAAGGCATGGGCCATCGTTTCCTTCTAGAACATTACCCATGGCCTCTGCTTTGTCCAGCAGTAATGTTGCTAACCCACAGCTGGAGCATAGTGAGGCAGAGGCCTGTGACCCAGTGGGCCTGTTGCTCAGAATGAGTCTCAGTAACTCATAGCCTGTGGGTCATTTCCCAGCAACCTCATGTTCAAAGTCTCTCCTCCATTTGAATACCTTTACCCTTGAGATATGTGTGTGTGTGTGTGCACGTGCATGCATACATGTGTGCATGTGTGTGTGTGCCTGTGTACGAGTGTGTGTGCCTGTGTGTGTGTGTGCCTGTGTGTGTAGACAGAGTCTCATTATGTAACCTAGACTGAACTTGAATTTGCATTCCTCCTGTCTTGGCCTCCTGAGCACTGAGCTGACAGGTATATTCTCACACCTGGTTTATCTGTGTCCCATAATGGGAAATGCTTCCACATTAAGTGACACACACGGAGCATTGCTCAACTCAAATCCAAAATGTTTCAAAATTTGAAATTGCTGGGGCATCGTGTCAGTACTGCGAACGTTTCTGATCCTGGGCCATTTCAAATTCAGATTTCCAGACTGGTCAAGTCTATACAAGCATTCCTGAATAGCATCCCCTCCCCCAGTCCTCTGAAATGTGAAACTTGCTAGTGTTAAATGTTTGGGATAGAGATTGTCAACCTGAAATTAGTAACAAGCTTCAGGGGTGGGGGGGGGGGAGGGACACAAGAGAGGAGGCAGCCACTTGGACCGCTCAACCCCACCCCAAGTGTCCTGCAGCCCCCACTCTGTGTGACCTGTGGCCTTCTTTCACAGCCGCTGCTGCCTCTGGGCAGTGCCTTCTCCCTATCCACACAGGTCTGCACACTGCACATAGCCATGGGGGAGACCTGAAGTGTCTTCTTCTGGGAAGTTCTTGACTAAGAGAGATGATGAAGCACGTAGATGCCTCTTAAGTCTCTGGGATTGAAATAAGTGAAGAAAGACCTTATAACTTGAGGAAGACCTTTTCAGAGTTGGCAGAACCAGTCCAACCCACGATCCTGGTCCAGGGAGACTGGTTTCTATCATGTGTGTTAGATTGCTGTCCTCGGGTCTTAACATGAGGGGAACTGGTGGCTCAGCATCCTCCACTGATAAAGTCATTTGTGAGCGCTTATCCAGGTGACAGGATGTTTTCACACCCGTTGTTACACAGCCCTTCACCAGTCACTGTGGCCGTGTCATTGGCTGGTGATCTCTTCACAGACTCTCCCTGTCCCTTGCCAGGGGCTGAGTTATTACTCTTTCAAACTTCAAAATCCAGGGAGCATTGTAGAGGGGCGGGAAGATGATAGGAGACCAAGATGGGGAAGAGTGCTCCGAAATCTGCCCTCTGGATATGCCGGAGGTATGGGAACCATGAGCACACTGCAGCTGCGGCGGCCTGCACATGGTCTACACAAAGAAACAACAGGACGTGACTGTAGGAGGAAGACTAGTTAGGGAGGAGGGGTCAGCAGCAGGGAGACTAGTTAAGGAAGAGGAGGGGGTCAGCAGCAGGGAGACTAGTTAGGGAGGAGGGGCCAGCAGCAGGGAGACTAGTTAGGGAAGAGGAGGGGGTCAGCAGCAGGGAAGAGTAGTAAGAGAGGAGGAGGGGGTCAGCAGGAGGGAGACTAGTTAGGGAGGAGGGGTCAGCAGGAGGGAGACTAGTTAGGGAGGAGGAGGGGTCAGCAGCAGGGGGACTAGTTAGGGAGGAGGGGTCAGCAGCAGGGGGACTAGTTAGGGAGGAGGAGGGGGTCAGCAGGAATGGGAAGGAAACAAGAGCAGGTAATGGGGGCAAATATAATCACAATACATTGTACACATGTAAAAAATTGTCAAAAAATTAAAAAGGAGAAAAAATGCATAATAAACTTATTCCTCTGGCCTGAAATATTATCCAGACTTACAGTTTTGAAACTATGATCCCCGGGACGCTAAGTCACATGACAAGCTCAAGGCAGAAGACATATAAATAAACTGGGCTAACAGTTTCTTAATCCACTCTGAAGTAGAATTGTCTCCTGGATCAGAGGTTATCCTACCAATCTGAGGCAAAGCACATGAGGAGGCAATTTAGTGCAGGGCTGCTGGGTGGACACAGAGGCAGGCCTGCTCTGCCTATTCTCCTCTAGGAGTGTTGGGTCCACTGGATGTTCAGAATGACCTAGTTAGTCCTGGACAGAGCTTCTCTGCATGACTGTCTGACTTCTGTTCATCTACGGCTAACACTCCTAAAATCTCCACCCCACCCTCCTTGTGCATATTACTTCTAGTTTAGGCCCCTGGGAGCTATTGTGTCCGCTTTAGATAACTTAGTATATCCCTGTTCCCGTCCACTATGGAGTAGCTTCAGGTCTTGTCCTTACAGGATGGTCTTATTTCCCAGTCCACTCAGGGCTCCCCCTTGTATCAGGTACCATGTGTGGTGCCATCTCCATCATGTCTTGGGAGACAGGCTAGATCACACACCGACAAGGGCAGCGGAATGCCGGGGTGTTACCTGGGAGAGAAGCCACCCCCTCTTTCCCTAAGTACATGAAAGCTAAGCTAGGGCAGCATGTCCCTGAGGGAGTCCTGGGGACTCGTGACTCACTCTGAAACTGCATGCTTGGTAATCTGTAGCGTTTGCCCTCCTGCCCCAGGAAGGAGGCAGGGTAGCAGGTCAGTCCTAGATCTGATTCTTCCCATGCCAGCTTGGGAAAGAGGAGCCTCCTGTCTTATTTCCTCCACCCACGCCCGGTGTCCATTTCAGGGCCCGAGCTGTGCTGTGGATAATGCCTTTAATCACTGTGTGCATATTCTGCCGCCTCTGGCAGATGAATGTGCACTAGCAGCAATCAGCCTTTTTGTCGTCTGCTTCCCACACGACAGTCGCCCTAGCTGAGAGTGCTGCCACCAAAGTCAGGCACACACACTCTCTTTCTCCCTCGCATAGGGCTGAGAAGGGCGTGACATGCCACAGTGTAACTGTTCAGTTTCTACAAGGAATTGGAGCAGTCAGCAAGTGCCAGGAGTTAAGGCCACCATGGCTAAGGCCTGGCCCTCTTGCCCCCTAACCCTGGGCAGAGCAGCACAGCTTAAGTTCAGCCTGGCGCTCCTGCCTCGTACTCAGTAACTTGGTTGTAAGATGTTGACTGGTCCTCCCTCCTGCAAGAAGCATGTTGGTTTTCACTGGGTCGGTGTGCCACGCTGAAAGGAGCCCGCAGCAGAAGCAAGAAGACCTAGTTCTGGTCCTGGCTCCACCCTTCCTGGCATATGTTCTGAGCAGCTCATTTTCACCTTTTAATTATGAAGTGAAGAGATGGCTTGACAAGGACCATTGTAAGTTTTTCAACTCAGATCTCAGCACAAGCCATGGAGCCATGCTTTTTAATGCTTGTATGTAGATCCAGGTCACATGCATGTGCTCAGGCCCCTGTCCACCTACCTGGCTGCAGAGAAAGCAGACCTCAGAAGCCAGTTTCAGTCTTCCAGGGATACTCTGAGGTCACACACCTCGCAGAACAGCCATCAGGCGGCCTCTTTGTCTTCAATCTGTCCATGACTGATCAGTGATGGAGTTCTTCCCATCAGAAGAGACATGTTTTAAAGGGACCCCTGCTGCCTAGTGATCTTTATGATCACTATCTTTGTGAGATCAACATTTCCCTGGATGGCCTGACATTTCTAGAATGTTTCTGTTGCCTGTGGCTGTGGGCTAGCTGTATGAATGGATGTCATTTGCGTGCGGTTGCATCATTAAATCCAGAAGAAACCAGCAGTGAAATCTTCTATTATTATTATTATTTATTAAAGATTTCTGTCTTTTCCCCGCCACCGCCTCCCATATCCCTCCCCCTCCCCCAATCAACTCCCCCTCTCTCATCAGCCCGAAGAGCAGACTGGGTTCCCTGCCCTGTGGGGAGTCCAAGGACCTCCCACCTCCTTCCAGGTCTAGTAAGGTGAACATCCATACAGCCTAGGCTACCACAAAGCCAGTATGTGCAGTAGGATCAAAACCCAGTGCCTGTTGCTTTTGGTCATAGCATCATTTTCCTTTTCTGTCACTGTCCCTTTAAGGGAATGAGCAGGGAGTAGGGAGGTTCCTGAGTTCAGTCCCCAGAACCAGTATAAAGAAACTGAGCAGAGAGCCTTGAGAGGTGGCTCAGTAGGCCAACTTGCTGTAATTAAAGGTTGAAGTGCAAGATCCCTAGCACTGGGTAAAGTCCAGACAGGCATGTGGGCTCTTTGCAACCCCAACACTTGGGACATGGAACCAGGGATCCTGGCTAACTAGACAAGCTGGAATCAGTGAGCTATAGTTTCAGTGAAAGACTCTGCCTCAATAGATGGAGGACAGCTGCAGAGGTCAACTTTGGGCTTTTACATGTGCAGGTATGTAAATAGAATGCATATTCACCCATGCACATGCAAAACATGCATGCATACATGCCACATATACACAGCTCACCACATATAAAGCTGAGCATGGTCCAATCCAGCAAAGGAGATGGAGACAGGTGCATCTCTGGGACTTGCCAGCAGCCGATGTAGCCTCCTCGTTGAGCTCCAGGACAGGGAGAGACCTTGTCTCAAAAACCAAGGTGGATGACTCCTGAGGAATGGCACGCCTGGGACTGACGTGTGCAAGCATGTCACACGCGCACACACACACACATCTATCAGAGAAAGATCTGTGTTTAGTAGTAGATTTTCAGATGGCACAAGCCTTCATGCATATTCCACTAGTGAGGGCAATAGCCAGATATGAGATGGTCATTCCATTGCTGTGTAAAAACCACCTTTTTGGTTTGCTAACAAGCATTTAGGAATGTGCTCTCCCTGAACTGGTGCCAGCTTAAGATAATGAATCTTAAGTTGAATTAGTTTCAGAAGCTCAGTTGCTAAGATAATTGCCTTTGCTTTGATGTATTCCAATCAGAACATCATTTTCAATGTT